TTCCCTATGTAAAGCTACAGTTAAACAGAATTTCTGTTTTCCAAAAGTAGCCCATGTTTCCAAAATCTTGCTGTCAGCAAAAGCATGTCAAAAGTTTTACCAGAGATTTATTTGTGTACATACATCCTTTACATTAACATGGATTCAAACGACACCCTTCTGCAAAGAAAAGCTCACATCCCCTTTAAGTCTTTGTGATTCTGCATTGAAATTATTTCCATTCCCTGATGAAAAGGAAATAGGAGAGTAATCTCTAAGTTTGTAAATCTCCAGAACATTAGTATTTGAGGAGAACTGTCAGACAGCCCTGTCTTAGAAGCCAGACTGCCTACACAACTCAGAACAATCTTACCCATAATTCTTCTTTGTTTTGAAGGGTTTCTTAGCACAGACGATGCCCTCAAGTAAACTATAGGGGAAGCATCCTACTCAGATCTGGGTCTAAGCCAAGGTGAGATTCAATTCTATTGACACTGGGTGTCCAATATTGAAATACTCATGGAATATCTCTGTCCTTTAATTCCCTGTGTGTGAAACTGGACATTCTAAGTTTTCCCTATTTTTATGTGGTCAGTTTTAAACAAACACTTCTGAACAGAGACTGTGTCATTACCAGGTGGACATAGCTATCTCTGTATTTTTTTGTAATTTTCTGTAATAGAAATTACAATAAGGAAAAAAAAAAGGTATTTTGTACTACTCCTAAAGTAATAGCTTGAGCAAGCAAACCACAACGTCTATATAGACAAATAAAAGGAGCAACTGGCTCTCAAATTTTGATGCACAAGTTATAGTCATAGTTCAGATGATACAAGGTCTACAATCAGTCAAGAAGCTCCATTTCCTATCTTGAGAGCCTTCAAGCAACTTAGAATATCTGAATGCAGCTACTGGTTTAGCTGGTCTCCTAGATTCACCATGATAAAATGTTCAGTCCAGTGGTCAGCGACCTAGTGTGGCACCTGGGGGCCTTGGTTCCCATCTCTTTTCTCCTATCTATCTCTGCGCAGTCTTAAGCAAGTCACTGTTTTTAAAATGGAATAAATGGAACAAAGTGTTATTCTTAACAACAGAAGAACACTTGAACTGTATGTTTTCTATAGTATAAGGATACTTAAGCGCTACAGTAATGGAGCTGACAGAAAACTCGGTAATCGTTAGGTAGCTCCACATTAACATGCTTTGTCCATAGAAAGTTCAGTGCCTATTTCAGTACCTGGTTTCAAGTTAGCAAATGTTCTTATATTAAGAGACGTCCTTAATAGAAAATTAAATTACCTTTTCAAATTAGCAATGCCTACAATTCTTCAGCGGAAGTTGCACAGTAATCTGCTTGCATCTTTGCAGCTGAAACAATCCACTTTGTGTGCAGTCACATTAAACCATCTTATAATGCTTCTTTGTGGAACTGATTGCCTAGTGACATTAGGAATGTCTTTTAAACTCTTATTTTTCTATCTTGAACAACAGATATCTCAGAAAACATCTTTTTCTGTCAGGCACTGGGCAGTGAAATCAACAAACTGGCTCTCACTGTCTCAGATTTGAGTACATCAGATGAATAATTTTCAAGAAAATAGCACCTGACTCTAGAATTAGTAAAGGCTGCCCCTAGTGTTTTTGGTTTGGTTCTTTTTTCCCCCCCAAAAGATGACTAAGAGAAAAAAATGCACTAAACGTGCTCAGAGTTCCTGTAGATGATTTGTACATCAACTGAATACCAACAGGGGAAAAAAAAGAGCAAGGGGTTTTCCCAAGCTTCACCTGCTTCAAGATCCCAAAATGATACATTGCTTTCTACAGGTGTTCAACCTGTCTTCAAATAGTGGGCTCCCAACAAGTATTCAAGCAGAGCCTTTGACAGGTCTGGGCAGTTACACAGGTGTAAAAGGCATTCAGTGATGTCAGCTTCTTAGCTTAAGTCTCCAGTCCTAAGAAAGGATTTTCCAGTCCTTAGGGGGAAAAAAAAAACGCCTAAGTTGGATGTACAGACACTTGCAGGCAGGGAAGAGAATGGGAAGTTGCCCGAGATGGGATGGAAGCACGATGCCAGCCCCTCCCCGAATGCAGGCAGGGCGCAGGTCTGCCCTCTCAGACGGAGCTGTGCTCCTTTCCTCCCGACTAACCCTTTCACTCAACAGCCCAAACATTTTTATTTCCCTCTCCTTCCAACCACCAACTCCCTCTGGCATCGCAAGACTGCACAGCTTCATAAATGATTGCCTTCCTACAAGCGCCTTCATCAGCACTGGCAGTTAGCGCCGATAAAGCACTGAAGCTGCTTATCTGTATTTATACTTTGCTGACAGGAACACACTTGTGCCTCTCTCTGATTCTGGAGAGCACAAAGCTTCCTGACCCCCACCAAAAAAGCCTGAGCACCAGCTGCTCCCACAAACTCAACTCCGCTGTACCTCCCAGCGGTGATTTTTATTTTTTCTTTTCCTGTGCCTTTGCACAAACACTACACTGAAAACTCACTCGTAAGTCACGCCGGGGTGCTCTGAGAAATGCTGCCATGACCAGCGCCTGCGTTTGCCAGGCGGGAGCGAGCACTCGCGCCTCAGCCGACCGAGCTTCCCGCCGGGAGGCCGTCAGGACCAGAAGCCTGGAGGGCAAAGGAGGGGTCGACCATGTCCCACACACCCCTTCTCCCCAGCGGCAGCGCGGCCCGCCCCGGGGCCTCCCGGCGGAAGGAGGGCCAGTGTTTGCAACCTGCCTCGCGGGAACCCAAGGGGACTCGGGGCCGGAGGGGGGGAAGGCCCCGCTCGCGGCGCGGACCTGTGGCGGAACCCGCACCGGAGCGAAGC